TACCTCGATGTTTTGTCTTCTCGGGGATGTTTTTTAAAAATATATAAATATCAATAGGAGTGTGAAGGACTTAGACTTGCGCAGTAGAAGGAAGGCAAGGACGATGAATAGGTCGAATGCGGCCATGGTCGCGCAGCTAGGAACTGCGCGGTGTCGGCGGATCTCAGGATTCCCCTAACACTTTCAGTCGGTGGTGGTCGACAACAACGTCTGCACGAATGCCATCATCCACACTGTGGCTGTCCCCGAACCTGTACCCCGCCCTCAAGTACGTTTGTCGTGGAGTCGTCCCATCATGGCTGCTCGAATCTGCACCGACGCGGCCGCAACATCCAGTTCTCGTCCGATGCGGCATGGCGGTGTCGGCCAGTCCGCATACAGTCCGCTTAATCTTTAACGCCTGATGCCTCATTCATGCAAAGGTGAACGCCCACCCTTTGCGCTTCCAGTCACCCCACACGTTCACACTGAAGAACGGATCCGATGCAACCTTCTCCCACCCGACCAAGTTGTTGCCAATCCTTGGACTCGGCAACCGAGCTCAGCGTGTTGTGATCGCAACCGACGTGCATTGTACTCGTACTACGTTGGAAATTCTTGTCGATCGCTCGTGTTCACATTCGGCACGGTGCTGCTGCTCCTCGTCCCAAACGACATTGGGCACCAGAACGCGGCGACTCTTCCCATGATGCAAGCCCAAGTAGCGCGCGACCTCGTCGGCGGTGTTGTGTCCATATGAGAGTATGCGTACGATGTGCATAAGTCGGCGAAGTCTTGTTGGCGGAACTTGAGGCAGTGCGACACACTCGCGTTCATGGTCGCGATAGGCAACCACGAAGTCGAGATACACTACAGCCACAACATGAACCGGTTCCAGCTCATGCCAGCGATTGCGGGAGACTAGCCCGATCAATCTCACGTGCTAAACAACGGGGTATACGCTGGTAACGTTAGGCTCGTTTGCTTTGTTGTCGTTTGCACAGAAGTCTACGTCAAGACGAACTTGAAGGGCCACGAGTTTGTCATCAGGCAACTCGAATGACTGCAAGAGGACTTGGTTATCGCCAGCGCGAAACGAACGCTTACGCCGAGGAGCAATGTGGTCGTCCACCGTCCGCTGACTTGTACCAGCGACGGAAACTGCGATGCACCTGCCAATCTCCTCAGATATACGTTTAAAGATCTGAACTACGACATGGACGTTGATCTGTACTTGTGCGGTCACCTGCACAACATCGAGCGGATGTGCGACGTTTACCTTGGGACATCACAGAATCAATCCTCGTACGTCCATGCAAGCGTTGACGCGGCAGCTTAACGTGTTCCCCGTGCGGAAACCATTCGACCGGCCGCCAAAAGCGCACGCAGCATTTCGCAACACGACCTTTGGCCTCAGTCGTCTCGTTGTACACAGCGCCATGCACGTTCAATGGCAACAGGTCGAGTGCGACCCGGTGAACGCTGCTGCATACGTGGTCAATGGCCACGTCGTCGACGGCATCTGGCTCGTACACAAACGGCACGGGAGCTTACGACCGCTCCACCTTAACCGAATCAACCTATTTTCCATGCATGATGGGATCTCCACGTGCCTCGTCGCCGCTGCCGCCGCCAGAAGATCCGACCCCCCTCCGATCGCTCCTGTTCCACGAATTTGATTGGTCGGGACGATACTATAAAACCCACCAATCGGGTGCTCCCAGTTGGTCATATTGGGCAGCAACACGCAATAATGGAGCGCTACCAGAAGCTCGAGAAGGTCGGCGAGGGCACGTATGGCGTCGTGTACAAGGCGAAGGACCGAGTGACGGGCGAAGTGATCGCGCTCAAGAAAATCCGCCTGGAAGCTGAAGACGAAGGGATCCCGAGCACGGCGATCCGGGAAATTTCGTTGCTGAAAGAGCTCCAACATTGCAACATTGTGCGGTTGTACAACATTGTGCACACAGAGCGGAAGCTCACGCTCGTGTTCGAGTACCTCGATCAAGACTTGAAGAAGTACTTGGACGTGTGCGAGAGAGGTCTTGAGAAGCCCATCCTCAAATCGTTTCTCTACCAACTGCTCCGCGGCATCGCATACTGCCACCAACACCGCGTCCTGCATCGGTATATTTCCGACTTTATCACCGATCTTGATGTGACCTCTTCATGTAGCGACCTCAAGCCGCAGAATCTCTTGATCAACCGGGAAGGAGAACTCAAGCTGGCCGATTTTGGCCTCGCGCGGGCCTTTGGGATTCCCGTGCGAAGCTATACCCATGAAGTAGTGACGCTGTGGTACCGGTCCCCCGACGTCCTCATGGGCTCGCGGTAGGTGTTTTGCATCATCTGATTGAATCAAGCATATATCAAATTGCACGTAGAAAGTACTCGACCCCTGTCGACATTTGGAGCATTGGGTGCATATTCGCCGAAATGTCCAACGGCGGGCCGCTCTTTGCTGGCACATCCGAAGCCGATCAGCTCGACCGCATCTTTCGCTTGCTTGGTACTCCATCGCTGGACATCTACCCGGGCTTGGTCGATTTGCCAGAATATAAGGTTGGTTCTCCCCCATCAACCCGAATGCAACTAGCTAACGCGCCGTGACCAGCCCGACTTTCCAGTGTACCCATCGCCGGCGTCGCTGGCGCACCTGGTGCCGACCTTGGACGACGACGGTCTGGACTTGTTTCAGCAAATGCTCCAGTACGACCCCGCCAAGCGCATCACGGCCGCCGATGCCCTCAAGCATCCGTATTTCACCGACCTGCCCCTGTCCCATCACCACGCTACCTAGGACGTTTTGTAATGATTGTGTGTGTGTGTTACCCGAGTGCTGTTGTCGGAAAAGCGGAGGAGAATATCTAGTCAAGATGACTATGGACGAAACGAACGAAACGAAATTTTCCTTCGAGAGCGCTCTACTGGGGCGTTGTCGCCGTGAGTTGGGAGCGCAACGCGTGGAGCGTCGCGATGCTTTCCGTCAAGCTCGCGATTTCGACAACCGCGGCCTCGATGCGCTCAGCGTCCTGCGCTTGGATTTCGTCGGGCACGCGGGTCGTGTACAGCGCGTCGGTCACCTTGGCGTGGAGTCCGGCCTGGGTCTTTTCCGCCTTGGCCAGACGCTTGGACAACCGAGCCAGCTCCGCCTCGACGCGCTCCGAAGTGTTGGCAGTTGCGCGCAAGGGCATCCACACTAGCACATACTTGTTCATGAGCCGTACTCGACATTGCCACCTTGCAAACACACCTTGGCAGGATGTCGAAATCGACTGGGACAGGTATGCGCCGTCGGATGGCGCGGTCGCGACCAAGTGGACGCCAGTGCGGCATTGCGAGCGTACGTCCTATAGTTTAACAAAACGAGAGTGAGAAGAACCACGCAGTCCGACTCACCGCCATGTTGCGCTGAAGGAGAGCGGTCAGAGCCACGTCTGTGCATTGAATTGTCAAATTCGAATCATCGGGCCCGTTGCTAGCGAGAGCATGTCAGCGGTCGAAAGAGCCAAAATCGAAAGGCGTACTCGTCATGGTCGGGCACGAGGGTCTTTCGGGTGTGTTTGAGGGACCGCATGGCGTGCATGACATCGAGCACAGCCTACAATCAAGCCATCGCGATGAATCCCTTCTGCATGTCACGTATCGTCGAAGAGGCTGCAAAATCGAGCAACACCGTTTCGCACGCATCCATGATCAAGTCTGCCCGCTCATGCAGCTCGGTAACTACCTGCATGCTCTCTTCAGCATCGAGATCTCGCCAAGCAGCCGCATCTTCCTTGGACGGAAACGAGGCCATCGCCAGCGATTCCGCGCGGCCATCCGCCGCCGTCAAGCGCTGCCTACAGCACCATCGAAGCAGTTCAGGACGTTCGCCCAAGGGGCCATGGGCGAACGAACCACAGCTCTTCTGTGACGAAAGGCATGAAGGGATGCAAGAGTCGGACGGACGTATCCAAGCAGTGGCGCAACGTGGCTTGCGCGCTTTCCCGCCGCTCGTTGGAAGCGCCGCCGTCCGCATCATCCGCCTGTCAAATCGAAATTTTCGTTGGGCACGCATATTCAGCAAGTTCGGGCGCCGACTACCGTCGCAGTGTACAAGACGGGCTTGGAAAATTCAATGTAAACATCGCACAGGTCCTGCAAAAAGAATCGCTGGGCTGCTGTCGCGCTGGCCGCTAGTCGGAACGATTGAAACCCGTCATGCGACTTGGCCACGGCGTCGGCCTGCATGCAAACGCCACGTCTGTTAGGACGATTCATGTCGTGGAGACCAAATGTACCATGCGGCTGAGAATCCACCGGTCGGCCAGACCCATGTGTGGACGGTGAACATCCAAGGTTGGTGCATCACCGGCAGACGGAGGAAGGAGCGGCAACGCGTAACGAAACGCGTTCCACATTTTATTGCAAAAGTGACGTGAGGCCACAACGCGCTGCAAGTCCATGTTGATTTGCCGTCCTAATCCACGGCCGTCGGTCACGCCACCAAGACAGTGGAATGGATGGCTTGGAAGAGGGAGTCGGCCTCGTTTCTACCTTGAGCCAAGTACAGCGATAGCGTGAGGCGCAGGGCGTCGGTACCGCAGCGCGGAATCCCCGACGGAAACTCTTTTTTCAGGTCTTTCTCGGCGCGAACGAGCTCCTTCGGGTCCAAATTACCTTGCTACGGGCACAAAGTTGAATCGACAATGCATGTGATGGATGCATATTGGGTGACTTGTACTTGGAGGTCATGGAGGAGGGTGGGGAGGTCAATCCCTGCAATGACATGCAGCGGATCGATGACGTTGCCCAGGCTCTTCGACATCTTCCGACCGCTCTTGTCCCGCACCATGGGGTGCAGCCACACCTTGTCGAACGGCTGGCGGCCACTCAACTACACGATGTCGTTCAAAGTGGGACGGAATCCTGCGATGACACGCCATACCTCGTGACACAGCATACTCATGCGCGCCACCCAAAAGAACAAAATGTCGGCACCAGTCTCCATCACGTTCAACGGGTACATGGATTGGATAGCTTCGGGAACGTTGTCGTCGGTCGGCCATTCCTGTGCATGGGATCACGCACCCACAAACACATTGCGTTCGGCAGCCGTACCAGAGCCGAGAGCGGCAGGAGCGCGGCGCTGAACCACGTGTCCAACACGTCTTCGTCTTGTTTGAGCGTCATGGCAGGTTGGTCTCCAAACTTTTCAATGGCGAGCCGACGCGCCTCCACTTCGTCCCTCGCGACGACCCATCGCTCGTTCGTCAACGCGTCGTCGCCGCCGTCGTCGCTTCCGTGCCAATGCACACGATATGCAGGGATGCGATGTCCCCACCAAAGTTGCCGCGACACACACCAGTCCTGCACGTTGTCCAAAAAGTGAAACCACGTGCGCTGCTGCTGGACAGGCTCCAGCGCCATGCTGCTGTTTCGTACTGCCTACACAACTCTCGTCGACTACCGAGTCGCTTAGCTAGCATACCTTGGCGGAAGCGGCGGCCATGTTGGTGCAATTCACAAACCACTGCGGCAACAGCGTCGGTTCGACGACATTGCCGGATCGCGAGCAAAGTGACACGGATGTGGGGTGGTCCAGCTGTTGAATGTGAGACTGGGTGGCGTGCAGGCACTCTACACACTCACCTTTTCGACGTACAGCTCCAGCTCGTGCAACTTGGCCACCATGGCGGCACGAGCGTCGAATCGATCCAAGCCGTGGAAATCAGGAACGTGGGGCGTGACCATCTTGGCCTGTTTGTCCATCACGACAACGTGCGGAAGGTTGTGGCGCTGCGCACAAGCCCAATCGTTGGCGTCATGGGCCGGCGTGATCTTGACAACACCTGTTCCCAAGGCTGGGTCGACCAGGACGCCGTCGAGAACGATGGGCAGCCGTTCATTTGTGAACGGGTGGACGACGTGCTTCCCATGCAAATGGAAGTACCGCGGGTCATCTGGGTGAATTGCCAGCGCGACATCGCCCAGGATGGTCTCTGGTCGTGTTGTGTCGACTTCGACAAACTCGGCCGTGGCCCCGTCCACCTAGACCAGGCAGCAATGAGACATCCACCGTGTTTGATGAGAGATGTTTTACTTTGTACTTGAACCGATGCATGACGCCAAACTCGACCGGCTTGGCATGGCCTGGAATCGGCAACAGTGTTCGCTTCGTCAACGGCACTGTGTCCACTTCGATGTCGGAGATGGCTGTTTGGAGCGTCGGGCACCTGGACACCGTCACACATGCGCTGGCTCATTAAGAATGTCGTACCAATTCACCATGCGCCGATGGCGGTACACGAGTCCTTTCGCATGCAGGCGACAGAACGCGTCGACGACTGCTGTAGATCTGGCACACATCGCATGTCGTGAATAATCCAACGATGCAAAGGATCACCTTACCGCTTCTCGTCTAGCGTGAAAAACGTGTGGTCCTTGTTTAACAGAGCCCCCAAGCGCTCTAGCTGGTTCAAGATGCGGCTACCGTACGTTGCGTTCCAAGCGTGCACGTGGTCTAGAAATCCAGTGAGACCACGTCACAAGGGGGCGGTGCACCAAGAAATGCAGTGCGGCCAACGTCGTGGCGCGTCAATTTTTGCTCCTTCCACAGCTGCTTCTCCACGACACTTTGCGTCGCGATACCGGCGTGGTCGAGGCCAGGAATCCAAAGCACCTCGTGTCCTGTCATGCGATGGTACCGTGCCAGCGCATCCTGGATCGTTACAGTCAACGCGTGTCCGATGTGCAGTGCGCCCGTGATGTTGGGCGGCGGCAGTAACATCGTAAAGCGCGGCGCATTCGCGTTCTTGTGTTTGGCGTTGACGAGCTGGGTTTCCCAGAACGCTTGCCATCCGTTTTCGACTGCCTGTGGATCATACGTGGACGCCATGGGGTCCACATGCACGCGCTGCTTGATGTTATCGGGCAATGACGACAAACTGCGGGAGGTTTGCATGAACTGGCGGCCCTTGGCACGCCTCGCCGCGTGCCATGCTCGCATCAGCATTTTCCGCCAAGCGATCACTTTGTCCAGGAATGGCAAAATCCAAGCGATCCCATTGGCCCAAGACCAGCCAATCAAACACGAGGACAGCTCATTTGATCGAGGAAACACAATCTCCGAAGCGGCCGCCGTCGCAGGGGACGGAGATTGACCACCATGTAGCGCTGTGCTCGCGACATGCCACCGGTGCTGGGTGTGCTAAGTGCTTTAAGGTATGAGCGTGCATGTCCCATACCAACTCGACAACTCGGTCCATCGATCGTGGTGACAAGGGAGGTATCGACAAGGTCACTACCTCGGTTGACTTCCATCTCACGTCATCGGAGTTCGAGCAATGGACTGTATGCTCCCGCGCGTCGAAGTTCATGGACAGTCCAAACGGGGTGGTGTAGGTGGGAACGCGGTATGCAACAGCCAAGCGCCGTTTCAGAAACGCTTCAGTTGGAGTAGAGGGTGGCGAAATCGCCTGCCAGGATGGAGCAGCTCGAGCAGCCCGGAGGATTCAATGTTGTGAGCGCTCCGGACAAGAAAACCCGCGAGCATCAAGCAATGGAGCTGTACCAAAAGGTACATGACGACATGATCTCGCTTTTAGCACGACCAACTAATGTCGTCTGCAGGGGGTCGAAATCGCCCATGGGTCGACGTCCACCGACGACAACCTGCGCGCGATCGAATTCTTCAGCATGGCGATATCGATTCGGCCTAACCACGCGCGCTACTTCCTCGCTCGGTACTACCCTGCAGTTGCACATGTACTGGGCAATTTCTCATGGATCAAAACTATTCCATGCCTCCAGTGGCAACAGCCTCAGAGCAATCAACGAGCACGAAAGCGCCATCCACGACTTCGACATGGCTATTGAGCTAGACAGCTCGTGCGCGTCGTACTACGCGACGCGGGGCTTGTGCCACCGAAAGGTAGGATCGGACCGCACAATTGCATGACACATTTCGTTGGCGGCAGCTCGGCAAGGCTGCCGATGCCCTTATCGACTTCACTCTCGCCATCGAACTTGATGCAAAAAAGGTGGAGATATTTCACGTGTAAAACGTGAATTCGTTGGTCCAATGCCAATGCAGGGCAATCACTACTTCAATCGAGCACTTGTGTTGTACGACGCTGGTTACTACGCCGATGCCATTGTCGACTTCACGAAATCCCTCGAAGATGCATCAGGAAGTGCCACCGGAGCCGGTCGAACCGAATTCCGCGCGCTGCATAGCCGTAGCAACTGCCACCGCCGCATGGGCAATTTCCGTACGTCGTACATGCACGCGTAATTGCCCCTCATGTATCTCCAGAGATGTGCGTGGATGACATGCTGCAAGCCATTAAGTTGGAGCCGAGAAACCCCGTGGGGTACAATGCGCTGGCGCAGTGCTACATGGAGGTACCGTTAGCTGACTTGAGGCGAAATTTCACAGGGCAACATCGCGTTTGTCCAGTTTGGCGACGTCGACAGCGCGATCAAGCATTTTACGGCGGCCATCAATCTACAGGATACCGTCCCCGCCTACCTGAACAACCGTGGCCAAGCCCTCTTTCGCCAGGTAAAGTCTCTCGTGGTCTGACTTTTATGACGTGCCAACGTCCCAGGGCCACGAGTCGTTCCGTGCGGCATTGATCGACTTCAACGCGGCTGTCAAACTGGACGGGAAAGATGCCCAGGCTTACTACAACCGTGGCCTGGCGCGGCTCGCCATTGCCTTTGTTGATATTGAAAAACGGGATCAAATCGAGTGGACCCAGGAAGCGAAGGACGTCATGGTCGATGTCGAGGACTCGGACGATGAATCGAATTCCAACCCTGCCACACGGTGCGTAGGATTCCAACCGTGTTGCGGTAACTCCATCGCGGCGGTGTTGTGGTTTGTGTCGACGGCATGGTCACCATGGGGGTGTGCAGGACTGCGACTCCATTGACTCGCACACCCTCGGTCACCATCAAGCCCGCTCCAGTTGCGACTCTACATCCCTCGAAAGACGGGAACGATCCGAATCTCCATGACAACGCTGAGAACGCCGGCAATTCCACAGCGAGTACGGGCATCATGAGTGTCGACGAGCAACTCGAGGCGGCGATTGCCGATTTCGACATGGCGTGCTCCCTCGACCCCGAAAGCACGCGGTATTTGTACGGCAAGGCGATGGTGGTTCACCTGACGACACGCGACAACGAGGCAGAGGGAGCCAGCGACACACTCGCCGTGCTGCAACTGGCGCTCGACGTCGACTCCCACCACGTAAAACAGTATTGATGTCAGCCCTTGGCTGACAGGGACGATTTATTCGTCAATCCCTAGGTGGCGTCGAGGTTCCATCGCGGGTTGCTCTTCCACGTGCAAAAACAATACGACAAAGCTGTCGACGAATTCACGACCGTGATCACCGAGATCCCGACCGAACCGAGGTTTCTGGAAGCTCGGGGCCTCGTCTTCCAAGAAATTCATCTCCACGACCTTGCAGTTGAGGTATGCTCCAGGCAACATTCAAGAACGTGGCCAGTAAAGGCACCGCTCGTTGTGCAGACGAGCTGAGACGTGTCGTGCTAGGATTTTACCAGCGCTATGGCAGTCCATCCTTCGCCTCCGCCTGCGCATTACCTGTATCACCGCGGAGAAAGCTATCTCCGATTGCACAACTTCCAGCAAGCCGTCGACGACTTTACGACCGCGATAGACATTGGCGGCGAGACACCCGCTGTTCTGAACGCGAGGGGCCTGGCGCACAAGGCGCTGGGCTTGTATGAAGCAGCTATCGCCGATTTCTCGGTAGACGAGCACCTCGTCGACAACCCAGCATCGCCTTTCATTTTGGTCTGGATTCTTGTAGAACTGCATTCGGCTGAACAAACGAATGGCGGTGTTTCGACTACATCGAGCACAATGCTACTTAGACACACATTTGTTTGAGGAAGCGCATGGGGATCTGAAGCTCGCGATTCGCCTGGCCCCGACAGACCCCAGGTGCGTAACCTCGTTGTACTTCTCGTACAACAAGCGCACGGCTGACCACAGGTGAATTGCGCCGTAGACTACTCTACTTTGATGGGGTGGCGCTGTTCCAGCTAAAAGCGTACAGAGACTCATTGGCTAAATTCACGACGGCCCTGAAATGGACGCCGCCTGAGGCATGCCTGAGTGACCTGTACGTGGCGCCTCACCCAATCTATCCCGATCGAGCTCAAATAGGTATTACCACATGGGACTGGGGCACGCCAGCGTTGGCGAACACATCCAAGGCGTCGAGTTCTTCACGCGAGCCATCGACCAGGTACGACATGGCGCATGCATTCAACTGTTCACGGGCAGCTTGCCACAGACGACAAGTCGCCAACTCAAGACCAAGTACTTGCACGAGCGAGCGAAAGCTCTGCAGCTGGAAGGATACTACGAAGAGGTACTGACCAGGTCGCCCTGCGGGGCGGACAAACATATTGCCATGGCAGGCCATCGCGGACTTTACCCAAGTCATTTTGCACAACCCGACCAACGCCCATGCCCACTTTCGCAGGGCGTTTGCATTCAAATCCGTTGGACGTGTTGCGGAAGCCGCGGCCGACATTGAAACCGCCAAGCTGCTTGACCCGACCAACCCCCACCTCATGGTCAACTACAAAAACCTCCATGACACAGAATGCATCGTCCTGTGCGTCCCCGGTCATGAAGTCGAATATTAGTCGGATCATGACCTCCCATAGCAAACAGTGTCCTGTTCCAGACTAGTCTATTACTGTCGTCCAAGCATGGCATCGTCCCTTCCGTTGGATCTCTTCTTCCATTTGTCTCGTCCAGCGCAATAGCCAGCTCTTTTCCATGGACGAGCTGCTCCATGTGGCCAACAGCATGACCTGCAAGTAGTCGACTTTCGGGACTTTGTCGAGATTCTTCGGAACGAGTGCTTCGTGCTCAAGCAAGGCCCAAACATGTACAAGGTTCAAATTTAAGACCATGTCTAGTTCTCGACACGATGCGAAGCTGGTGTGGCTTCCCCAAGTCCAAACCGGGGATCGACTTGCCAGCAGCACGCCGACAAGTCGATCCCCGGTTTGGACTAAGGTGTGG